CGATTCTATTTACCTACATTTTTTAACATGGAATTTTATTTTCATAATATTATTATCTAAAATTATTTATATAATTTACAAAAAAAATAAAAGCAATGTGCCGACTAAAATACTAAATTACAAAATTAAATCAACTTAAAAATTATTTCCCAAGAACATGATTCATATTCGAAGATTATATATGGAAGTAGATTTATTTTTATACATGTGCATATCTCACATTTGTGCTCTCAATATTAAAAAAAATTTGAAAAAGTGGTTATTATTTCCTTTCTATCGGTCCGTCCATCACCCTTTCGTACCTCTTTTTACAAAATTTCAACTTTCTTTAAGATAGAAAGCTGTAATAAATTTTGTATATGAATATTAATATTATACTAGAAATTTTTGACTCCCGCTTCTAAAAGTTACAGCTCAACTAATATTGAAAAGCTAATAATATTTCAATTCTCGATGCCTTATATTTGCCAATTTCTACAAAAGCAAAGAGATAAAATTATTTATCTTAACTCACTTACTTAACCATCCAATGATATGAATGAATGAAATTGCAGTAGATTGTTTTAAAACGCTTAAGAAAACTACTTTACAAACCATTGATTCGATTCAACCTTATTTAATTTAAAATTCCCCAAAACCAGTTTTTGATTTTATTATTTAATAAAAATCGAAAACTTTAATTTATCTCGCAAAGTATTATGAATATACGATAAATAACTCTTCTTTTTCAAATAATTTTACATACATTTAAATTAATTTTAAAATAAATTTATTAGTATTTTTATAAGAAATAAAAATAAGCTTATTATTTATAGGTGCTTTTGGAAAGCCAAAATGCTTCTATTTTTAGCACAGATAATCTAATTCTACATTTCGTTTTGTCTCCTGTATAAAAAGGAGTAAAGAAATTAATTAAGAACTATAGTGTGACCTGTTTAATATTACATAGAAAAGATCACATATTTTGTAATTATGATGTGGATGTTTTGAAAGTAAGCGATGCACGGATAAATTTACATTATGTGAAAATAGGCGGACTTGGATAATCTATTGATTCTATTTGAAGCGAGCGATATGAAATTAGATTTCTTTATATCGGAAATTTCATAATATTAAAAAGGTTTTCTATAATACAAAGCTATAAATTCGGAGACTTTTCCTGCTTAAAAAATATTGTGAATATAACTTAGTTGTGCTATTACACATGGTCAACATCAAGTTGATGCAGTTTTTAAATTTCTCCTAAACGTATGCAAAAAGATATAGTGAGGTAAACCAATACTTAAAATAAAATTTCTTTGTTAAACTTCTAATGGTGAAATATCAATGATCGCATTCGATTTTTTAAATTTATTCAAATGCAAGAACTCGGACTCTTGTATTTGAAAAGAATTTCACTTGAATTATTTTTCATTCTTATATTATTTTACTCTTATATACCAAAAATGCGTTTTTCTTTTTAATCTAATACGTTACTGTGACGCTAAAATAACAATGCTAAAAATCCAATTAAATATTATAGGCTTAAAAATATTATAAACTAATAAAATTAATAAAATCAGAAGAACATTTTTTTTCTGTTCATATCTCAAAATTTCAACTTAATTAATAATTTATTTAATAATATAAAAAGGCGTTGCAACTAAAATTAAATTGTCGCTACTATTCGAAGTAATTTAAAATAAAACATTTCCACAAACTACAGAAATAAAATAAAAGAATTTTAAAATTTAAATTTTAAGTATTTTTTCAAGCTAATTTTAATCCAATAAATCAAGCAGAAATTTTGAAGTAGTAAAAATATCGAACCTTTCTGGTATTTAAATATGTTTTTTAACTTTTATCAAATCATATCTGTCTTATCTACCACGCTCTTTGCAGAAATTTTCCGGAAAATTTTAAATATTTTTTAAAATATTCTTAAAATATTTTGGTAAATATTAATTAGCACTTTATTTACGTTTTCAAGTGATTCTCTACAGTCTACATCTTAAGCATTTTTTTTCAAATACTTTTTATAAGCACAGAATTAAATTTATTTTAAAACAATTAATAATGTTATCAAATATAAGAATGGGAAGTACACACTTGAAATTAAATAGCACCTATATCTTTATAATTGCATCTAATAACAAATGTATTAACTTGTATACAATATTACTTGTATACCATTATTATACAATAATTTTAATACAACAATATCCTTAATACCAAAATCTGGGTAATATCAGTTTAAAAAACACTCTTTGGTGTAGTTCGAGTAAATAAAGTTTTAAAGTTTTACATTAATTTATTTACTAGAAAGCCACATATAATTTTCAAATGCTTAGTAAAAATGACAAAAAATTCGATACAGTTTGAGAGCCATCAAAATTTACATAAATGGTTCTTGTATTTGCTTTATCGTAAAAAACTAATTATCAAGTATTTTCACCATATTATTTAAAAAAAAAAAATTTCCTTTTTCGGTTTCAACCAAAAAAGGAAATTTTTCAAAACTTTTTAAAGCAAAATAAAAAAAAACATTTCCTACGTTTTTTTAAAAAAATTTTGAAAAATTTTGGTGAAAGTTTTAAAAAAAGTGGCAAATTGCAATTGTTATTTATCGTAAGGTTTTAAATTTTATTTCAGGTTCTTATTACATGCAATGTCCTACAGTTACTTTTCAAAGTTGAAATAGAAAAACCAGAGTTTGTCAAATATACACTAAAATATTTAAATTAAAAATATTTTAAATTATATTTGATAATTTGCAAAAAATTTTATTTAGTAATTCAAAAGCCAAAAAATATTGTCAATTGTATCTATTGAAATCTCACATTAAATATGGAAAAACAAACCCAAGAATCTGGCAACAATATATTATGATTATTTTAGTGTGGTATAATAGATCATTTTGTAATTTCAGTATAAAACAGAAATCAAAATAAAATCTCATCTTGTCTAACTATTGAAATCTAGCCAATGTTTATTACAAAACAAGTTCACGCTTGTAAAATAAAGTAAGTCAAATTAAAGTATAAGAGTATTTCTGAAAATGCAGTTCTTAATGTTAGAGCTGAAAAGCTTTCAATGCTTTATGAAAAAATTAAATATAGAGATTTCAAAGCTTTGCAGTTTTAACATTAAGAACCGAATTCTATAGAACAAATTCTTTGAATTTCTTCTTTGATTTTTTTGAAATACAAAGACAAATCAAATAGTGGTTATGAGTACAGAAATGTCACAAATTTTCCAGTCACAAATTAACAATCTGAAAAAACGCATCATCATATAGCTCATACGGAAGTCATCAACTAAAAGATTACGATCATAAATTTCGATTCGGCAGCAGGAATTTTTATTACGGTAATGACTCCAAGTTTCAACTTACAATAATTCGCAGTGTAAACGCACACTATTTTTCATACATTTATAGAGGGCGGTCCAGTTCTGGTGTAAACGTTCTCTGTAAGTGATTCCTTAGAGTTTTTTTGAAAAAAATATGGTAAAAGAACTCAAATGTCTAGGGTTAGTTTTAGAAGGTTAACAAAAATCGGATGATAAAATTTGGCCTGACGAATATCCAGCAAAACTGTTGAAGCTACAACGATATAAGAACAGGGCTATCTACCACATATATATATTACGCTGACCTCTGAGACTTAATCATTAAGTTCTTTTGTACAAATAACACTAAAATTTCTTAATGGAAATTCATAGAAACAAAATACATGTTATATAATTTTCACATAGATATCAATTTATATTTAATCAATTTTATTTTATCAATTTTTATTTTAATTTTTCTTAATTTTATTTATTATCTTTATAAATTTACAAATAATGTTTAATATTTACACTTTTTAAAATTAATTTTTTTGAAATAAATAAATTTTTCCACCTTTACCAATTGATTAAATATCAAAATCATATCAATTAATGATATGAGGCTTAAGCAAAAGGAAAGGAATTTTTACATAAGATCAGCTTATTTTTTTTTTAAATTATGCTTCTAAATAAGGTAAAACTTTAAACCAAGTTACCGCTTAAGTAAGTTGGCAAAATTTTTCTCATTATTTATTTTTAATTTAAATGAAAATTTCCTATATTTATTCATTTATACTATAATTTTATTGCAATAAAATTTTATTATTCTAAATATTCATACAATTACGAATTACTACATTAAAATTATAACATATTAATGTAATTAGTTTTAAAAAAAAAATACAAATTAATTGGAAGAAGATTTTAAATGAAAATTGTAAAAATGGAATGGGTACCATTATAAAAAAAAAATTTATAAAATATTATATTTTAAATGAGATATATTATACTACATAAGACTACTAGCATACTCTAAAGAAAACTAAAATCTAAAAGTATAATTTAAAAATATACAAAAACTGTAATGCCGTATATAACTACGACAGAATAGATCGGAATTTAATAGTTTTAGCATTGTTTTTGTAAATTTCGCTACTTCGGAATACTTCGGAAAATAATTTCTACTTTATGATATGACACCTGAATCCTAATAGATATATTCGGCATTACAAAAACGAAATGATATTAAATATTCTAGATTTCTTTAATTCATTTAAATTTTAATGTCATATCTTAGGGTCTAGAATAAAAAAGATTTAAAATTAGTTTCTACATTTATTTTATTTTTAATTTAAAATTTTAATGAAAATAGCGAATTTGGGCGACAATTTAATTTTATAAATCACCGAACAACATACCGAACAGTTAACAAATTATGTAATCAGCTCAAATTAATAATTATAACCAGGATTTTGGTATGGAACCAGGAAAATCTTGGTTCAATAAATATTACATTACAAAATGAATTGATGAAATCTAGATGAAAAAAAAAAAAATACTATAAAATATCTTAATATTGGCAGCATCTTGATTTTTTTTTCATTTTAATTTTATTGTCCTATATTATTTTTGCCTATATTTTCACTGACTATTAATTATATTAACATAAATAGTAACTATTATAAAAACAAACTAATTAAATAATGGAAATATAAAAGAAAAACAAAATGAATAATGATTGAAAAAAACAAAAAAAAAATGCAATGAGAACAAAAATGAATTTATTCTCCACCAGACCACAATAATTCATCTAAATTTAATTTTCTAACGACACCTTTTGGAGCACCATAACCAGGTCGACCCCAATATGTATCCAATGTTTGGAAATGATCGCTACATGCTTGACGTTCTGCCAATCTATGTAATGTCCGATTTTGCCTTTTTTCAATTACTTGATTATTCAAATCTCTTGTGATATCCAAAGCAAATGGTGTGCTATAACATTAGATGAGATATGATTTTGGATTTTGTATTTTATTACAAATATTATTATAGGTATTATTTTTGATTTTGTTGTTGTTGAAGCGTTCCACAGTGTTTGTTTTTAAATATAGCAATTGAAATTGCAAAATAATGAATTTTTTAATGATAATTTTTTTTTCTTATATTAATGAAATGATGAGAAATTCATAAATGTTAGTGATTTCCATTTTATGTTCAGTGAATTTTATGATTTTTTTTTTTTTGAATTTTTACATTTTTTTTTTTTTTTTTAAATAAAACTATATAAATATAATTATAATATATAATTTTATATTAAATTAAATTAATCTTATAATTAATTTGCATACAGTGAATAATTTATTTTACAACTATATAAGTAAGTTATTAATCTAATTGCATTGAAAGAACAGAAAAAAAAAACAATGAAAAAACACAAAAAAAAAAATCCTAACGAATATGCAAAATGAATTTCTTTACAGAACTACTTGGTGGTTCGTACCTATTTTCCACAGTTCTTTTTGTAACATCTGTACTTGATAAACTTATAGGACGATTTGCACCTCTTCTACGTGCTAATAATGGTACAAGTTCAACATTACTACTTGGTGTTGTTAATGTACCCTCATAACGTGGACATACTTTTGGTGGTGGTTTTTGATGAACTTTCGAAAGACCACTACCAGTTGTATGAAAATCAATTTTCTCTTTTTCTAATTCTAAATCTTTTTGTATTTCACGTTTTAAATCAGCTTTAGTTGTAACATTAACACCAGCTGATGTTCTTACACCATTTTTACTGCCACTTCTTTCAACTTTAACAGGACATTTACAAACACATAATTCACAACAGCTTTTAAGAACTTCATCACCACGTGAACGTTTCTTTTTTAATTTTGGTTTTGCACCAGTTGATCTTGTTCTCAAACCATTTTTAACATCATCCATATCTCGTAACATTTGTTCACTTGTCCAACCCTGATGATGATGGATGAATAACATGAAAAGAAAATAAAATTAAAAAAAAAAAACATTTTTAATGTAATTTCGAAATTATTTTTTTTAAATACCATAGAATGTAAAAAATCATGTCCGACTTTACTTTGACTTCTCCAAGGTTTACCCCCTGGACCTGGTCTACCCCAAGGATTCTTGTAAAAAAAATATAATGAATGGAGTATCAATATTCAAAAAAAAATGTATGTATGGAAAATTTAACTAAGATATGATGATTATGATGATCATGAATTTGTGTATGATTTTGTAATGACGGATTAATGATTTTATAAAATAAAAATTTTAAAACAATGCTGAAATACAAATAGTTGCTATTTACAGATTTCAGTACCTACATATGAAACTATAATCGCGGTTTATAGCTAAAAATTTCAGCAGTTACGTTAAAAGTTTCGCATATATATTTTTACCCTAATGTAACCATAAAATTTGTAATTTTAAAAGTTCAAGTTCTTATTTTGACAAAATTTTCTATCACACTCAAATGAAATATCTTCAGGAATTCTAAAACTTTGTAAAGCTCGGAAAATTTAATCTAAATTATGAATCAAAATCGAGAAATGGCTATGATCGAAATTATTAGGATGTCGTCATTCCATATGTAGAAGGACAACATTCTACATCCTCACAATTCAAAATTAATTGTACACGTTCTATGAAACTCTTATCTTTTTTTAATAAAAATGAAACACATATGTAAATTTTAGGAAAAAAAATAATATTTCTCACCTCTCTTGATTTTTTTTTTGTTCCAGGACATTCTTGTTCAGTAACTACAATTTTATCCAACATTTTATTACCGGTCGGTGTTGTTTTATATCTCAATTCAATATCAACGTGTGGTTTACCTTTTGAATTCGGTTGATCTTTTAATGTAATAAATAATCTTTCGGCAGCACTACGAATTTGTGAACTATCAGTTCGACCTGCACCACCACCTCCTAATTCCCTACTTATACTTATATTTCCTAGATTTGTTGTATTATATGGACTAGTAGGCCCAATTCCAGAAATACCAGAACCTCTCTTTTGACCACTACCTAAACCATGTGGTGGAGGATCACAACCACCTAAATAATGCCCTCTTGGTATACTTGGCCTACGTGATGATGGATAACTTCTTAAACCTGGTATAATTTTCTAAAACAAAAAAAAAAATTATTAATTATAATATTTTCGTATTGGTGATCTTAACTATATGAAAATCAAAATTGAACTGAAATTTTTAAAAAAATTTTTTTATATTTTATTTATTAAAAAAAAAATTTTTTTATTACCGTTCCTGGTGTAGAATGTAATCCTTCAACAGTAATATCATGTCGTCGTACGTCAACATTTGGTGCACCACCACCCGGTTTACCCCATGGACAATGTTTCTGTGATAGATCTGTATACTATAACAAACAACAAGAACATTTTAGACAAAAATCAGTTAGCAGTAATGAAAAATGCAAGTCGAAGGTTATTAAAAAATTTTCTAAAAGACAAAACTTTCAGTTTAGCGATAAGTTTTTAAAAATTAAGAACATATTTTCGTACAGTATATTCAAATTCGAAATATAGGCCTACTTTTTAATAATAAAAGGAAAATGAGAATGCAAAATTTTATCAGAATTTTAGTAACACACTTTGTTAAACTTCCCTTGACTGCAATAAAACAAAAAAAACTTTCAAGTTTTATAAATTTTTATCAGAACAAAAATGAAATTATAGCAAGGACCTCTTAATCCAGTTAAACTTTTGAATTTATGCGCAATAATTTCATATCAAGAATTTCATAAATCATAATTGCATATTGTTATTTAAATTATTTCGATTTTAAAAGTAGGTCTGAAGTTTTGAATTAAAAATTACAAATTATAAATTTACAATAACAACAAAAAAAAATAACAAAATTAAGAAAGGGAATATTCAAGCTGACATTGAAAGGATATTAAGGATAATTGCTTGAAAAAGTTTTTATTTAAATAAGAAAATAAATAAACAAAAAGATATCCTTACAATTCCACATTAAAAAAGATTAAAGTACGCTAAAAAAAAATTATTTTTAAAGTTTTCCACAACTTATCAAAAAAAATTTTTTATCAATATGAAATTCTTTAGAATTTAAAAATGCATTTGCGATGAGTTTAATTGCAAAAATTTTTTAAACATAAAAAGGAAGATATGAGTAAATTAAGTGAAAACATTAAAACTGAAAAATAAAAGGCGATATTGGTCTCAAATAACATTTTTCTTTTAATATTTTCTATAAATGCAACTGATATGAGGAAACACGAATATTTTTTAAGGGAACGGAAATAATTATTATAATTGCGTTTTCACATGCATAAGTACACACAATTACGAAACTGTGATTAAGTTTCTTCTGTGCATTCTTATCATTACTAATTAGTTATGAATGCAAAAATCGCAAATAAACGAATATTTTTAATGAGTATGCTAATTTTAAACCTAAATTAAAATTTTTTACGTAATAGCCTTAAATAATTTATGTATTACCATAAAAGAATCTAGAATTAGAAAACCAAAATAAAACTTTAAATTTTTTCCCTGCTTTACTCCCCTTGGGAGCACAGGGTTTCCACAAAGCTTCTGCAACAGAACTATTTTAGGGGCCATTCGTTTTATTTCTGCTATATATATTATGTAATACACACCTACACATTATAAAAGAGGAATTCCCTTTCTAATCACGTCTGATATACCACAAAAATGTTACCTGCACTATCATAAAATACACATTTTCTTGCTGAGAATTACATTCTAAGTCAATCTAATTGCTATATCCGCCCGACCATGCATTCGTTGGTTAGATTGTAGATTGCAAAGAAGGGGTAACAGGGCATCACGACCAGAAAATATAGATCTATTGTGCCCGCCAACTAGGTGTGGGACATAGCCCTGCAACACCCCCTCGAAACTCATCCGCCAACTTTGAAGGCCGGCAGACCGCAGCTCCGCCGGCGTGAGTACGTAGTTTCCCAGTACCTGGCTTCTCATGCATTCCCTTAAAAAGTGTGCAGAGAACTCCTCATCCTGTCCGCAAAACCTGCATACATCTTCTCTTCCCAGGCCAAACCTTCTAGGATAAGCCCTGAGGCGACAATGCCCCGTCAAGACCCCGGTGAGAATTCTCACCTGAGTCCCATGATTTTCTTAAAGCGCCTCTGGTCATAATTTCCCAAAAGCTCCCTAGCCTGTCGAAGTCCTGGAAGACAAATCCAGCGCTCCGAACGCCACCTCTCCATTTCCTTTTTAATTCTCCTTGAATCGTATGTGGTCCGATTTCGCAGAAGGGCTTTGGCCCAAGAAGAGGTGTGCTTGCCCCCCTTTTCGCCAACGCGTCCGCCGCCTCGTTTTCTTGTACGCCCACATGTCCAGGCACCCAGTCCTTTTTTTTACGTACATAAAATACGTAAAAATATTTGCCGCCCTTTTCCAATCCTCACGACATGGGGACCTACTTTCCCATGTCATCCGATTTTTGTCAAAATTGTCGCCAGTAAAATGCGTCTCCAGAAGAAGAAGAGCCCCTTTGCTCTTCATTCGCCGTGTAACTACAATCCGGCCTCCTCAGAGATGTAGCCTAGCAGCAGCCGGCGTTTCCGCTACGCCTTCGCAAAAGGATCTGAAACTTCTACGCCTGGCCCTGCAGATCTCTTTGTTATACATGGCCAATTTTTCCCTATACCTATCCCAGGTCCCTTCTCGTTTGGCTTTATTTAAAAGCCTGTGAACCTCGCCTCTCATTCCGCTAAGGACTCAAATGACTCGGCCATGGCCCTCCCAACTTCTTCCACACCTCTTTCCAGCACCAGGGGATATCTTCTGAGCCCGGCGCTCAGGTCCTACTTAAAATTTTATCAAGATGCAAATTTTTATTTAATGCAGATCATTGAAAATTCACAAAATATAGTCAAGCGTCTCATCATTGAAAAAATCTCTACGCAATCTCTATAACTTTTTGCAATATTGGTGTTCCAGATCTTGAGAAAAGTGTTTGAAAAAATCAGGCTAATATAATTATGCCGTTTATAGTTGCCAATGTCTTGGAAAACTCTAAATACTTCAAAAAGAGTCTTTGCATTAGAAATACTCGTATAATAAATTTTATTGAAAATCAAAATTAATTTATTTTGATTTTTGACATTATACTTTAATGACGAAATTTTTTAATAATTATATTTACAATTACAAAACTAAATCGTTACGGTAAAATTTTGGCAGCATAGTAATAAAAATTGTCGTATAACAACAACTGATTATGGTAAACTTGAAACAATATTCCTAAAGGTATGCAAGGAAATTTAACTTAAATTTATTTTTTTAAACACACATAAAATCTATATTCGGCAAATTATGATGAACTTCCGGAACAATTAAAAAACTTTAAAATAACCTTAATAATTATTATTGTTTATTATGTAGTTAAGAAATACATACTAAATTGTATATTATTAGACATAATAAATAAATTATTTAACAATATGTGCACATATACCATAGACAAAAATAATTAAAGAAAAGCAAAATATTTTTATGATAAACAACAAAAGAAGCAAAATAAATTTCAAAGGATAATCTGACTGATCAAAAACCGAAGAAATTTTTTATTTTATTCGGAGGATTTCATTTTTATTCCTTTGGATTTTGCTCTTCCCTATAAGGTAAAAAAGTAAAATAAAGTAAAAGAACGAAAACAAAGAAGAAAAAACACATTTTCCGTATTTATTTTTGATTTGTTATTTATATTTGTTACGTTTCTTCGCTTCTAGACTTTTTTTTTATTATAAAATTATTAAAGTCTGAAGACTATAGTCACGAAATTTATATGTCTAAAAGGAAGGCAACATGAAAATTTTATTTAAATTTTCCTCTGAATATTTTCTATTGTAAAAAATTTTTGAAAGAATTTTATATAGACTTATGTAGTATATTGTAGAGCACATGTAGTCGAACATTAAGCTTAAAAAAATTCTATATAATATACTCGTAAAATGTATAAATATAACAATAAAATGGTTAGGAAATGTGCACAAGTATTATACATTATATGATATATGTATGTATTACATGAAATAAAGAAAGAAGAACAGGAGTTTGCATTCATCACTCTCGATAATATTTTAAGGAAGAAAAAATATGTCAAATTTTTGTTTTGTTTCTCATATACTGTTATCTGTCTTTTGGTTTATTCCTTTTTGCAAAAAAAATAAACAAAATTGTTATTTATATAGTGAAATATTCTATATAGAGAAAGGTAAGGATATATAAATATTTTTGAATAGGAAGGATTTATAGAAATGTGTAGGGGTTATATCATATTTGAAATACATACCTACAAATCAACTTTTCAAACTGTTATACATATATAACACTACTATAATAAAAATTATGTAATACATAAATCTAAAATGTTTTGAAATCAGAATTCTTTTTTAAGTAGAAATTCTACTTTTGTACACAAAATCAATTTGAAAATCCTGTTTTTAGGTGGTAACATGACCTATATTTAATAAAATATTCTTATACATTTACAATTATTAAAAGTATATAAAACTTTTACATTCTTATATTAAAAATTAAAGTAAAATATAAAAATTTTTGATAATTTTACATTTATATTTCCTGTTCATTATAATAGGAAAATGATGTAATTTTATGATAAGGTTTTTATATTAAATTTATGAATAAAAATAGAACAATTTAATTTATTCTCTATAAGAATAAGCATGCATACCTTACGAATATCTATTTAAATATAAATCTAAAATCAATAAATTTGTAATTATAAAATTTTAAATTACACACCATTTATTTTCAAAATAAGCAGATTAATCTAGTTGATTATTGCATTGCATTATTAGCTACTAATTGTATAAAAGGAATAACTAGTTATTGCTACACAAGGATAATTTTTAAAAATAACTGTAACACTTTAACACTTTTACAATATTATAACCTTATTTTTAATTAGCCCAAAAATAGAAATTTTATATATGAAAAATTAAGAGATAACATTTTATGCCAAAGCATATTTAAGTAAATATTTATAACAAGCTGCAATACAGGGTGTCCAAGAATCGACAGTACTCCAGAAATAGAGTGATAGAATACATTCGGATGAACAGAAAACACCTAATGGCACTTTACTTTTGTGGCCTTTCTTCTGGAGATATAAGATCTTAAATTTGGAATTTCTAAAAATCGTTTAATTTCTTAATTTTAAGGAATAAATCAGGAATATTGACAGGTAAAATCAGTTTTGTATGCTCATTTTGAGGCGCATAAATTTCATCTTCTAATGGGGAATTAATGGTTTCGAATAATTTTTTAGTTTTAGAGATTTGTATGTCAAAAATCAAAATTTTGGCGATTTGTATGTCGAAAATCAGAAAAATTTCCAATAATTTTGCTTTAAACGTCATTTACTTATAACTAGACTTTACTACTCTATGGTTTTTTTTTACTGGAATACAAGCCATCTTTCAGTTTTATATAACATAATGTTGCCAAAATCTAAGGAATAATATGTCTATAAAGCTAAAACATAAGGTTAAAACATTCGAAAAATAACTGAAACCAAAAATATTTTCAAAAACACAATTACGAGTACTTAAGCTTTATTACTCAAAGTTAAAAATTGTTAACATGTAACTTGGCGGACACCCTATACATATGTATGTATATAGTATGAGTGCGTCATAAATTTTTTCATCAAGAACATAAAAATTCAATTAAAAAATTTGCATTGATTTGTCAATCTAATAAAAAATATTTGAGTGATAATTTATTGCATTTCGTGCAAATCATTTTTAAAATTAAATAAATTATAAAACACCTTGAAATTAATATCATTTCAAATAATAAAGTATTTCTGTACAAATTTAAAATTTAACCTAAATTTAAAAATAAATTATTTTTATAAAAATTTTTAATATATAATGGCTAAAGTGTAAGTATAAAAGTTCTTACATTTTAAAATGTTATTTATAATTAAACAGTTAATTTTGTTCATAAAATAAATGATTTGAAAATTATTTGGAAAAATATGATAGGTTTAAATTTGTTTTGCTATAATATACATAATACTATATTTACATAGTCAGTATAATACATAACAGTATGATACTATATACATAATATTATTTTACCTTAATATAAAATTTAAATATTATATGAGGGAGCAGAGGCAGAGTTGGCAGAGGGGCAGAGTGACACAACCCACAATTAAAATTGTTTTTACCGACCGTATTGCAACAAGAGAGGTTATATGATAATACCAAATTTTGGACGTTGAGTTTTTGGTGGGAACGCACTTCTCCATAGTAGGGAAGCGTAGTAAACTATTTTTAGCAAAATTATTCTTATATATAATTCATATATGAGTTCATCTTGGCTATGTCTCGGATGTTACGATATTATCAACTATTAGAATATTTCGGGCCTCAGGAACTGAGGCATTTTACGGGTCGATAAAAGAAATGTGGTAGAACCCACGTTTTTTCTTAATAAGCCTTAACTCTAATCAGATTGTAAAAATTTTAAAAGTGTCTGTATTTTCATTTACTTGTTAAGTATTGCAGATTATGTACTTAACACCATTAGGTTTTTTAGTTTTTTAGGCAACTTATAACATAAAAAAAAAGCACCTTTCCTCCTTTTATTAAATTAAGTATGGAACCTATTTAGGCTCAGATCCAGATAATGAAAATGATTAACGAAATGGATCACAAAATTACGAAAGACAACTTGAAGGTAATAAAATGGATAAAGGGAAAACACAGGAGAGAAGTTCATGAAACAGATACACAAATCCAACAGGGGCTACCTGCTGAATACGTGTAAAGAAAACGCGTCTGCATGGCTCTTTTAGTTAATTGTTTGACCAGTTTTAAGTATTAAAGCAATTGAGTATAATTTTAGTTAACAATTAATATAGAAAAAAAATAAAAAAGTTTAGGTTAAGTCAGGTATAATATTTCTAATTTAAAGAGAGTTTTATTTTAATTTTTATTTTCTTAATTGGAAGAAAACAATTTGATAATTTGGGTTTGCAGAGCCCGAAATATATTAGCAAAAATTAAAGTATTTTAATCCGAAGAAAAGGAGATTTCTTTCATCCAAATAGCCTTATTATTTTAATATACATACACACTTATGGGGAATTTAAAAGTAATATTTTAAATAAAACTTTTACTAACACAATTGACCATGCAGATTTGTATATAGCATACCATATTCTTATTTATGAATGAGGAGGATGGGTTTCAAAAGAGCTCCTTAGGCAATGTAATTGAGAAATATGTATAGATTGGTGGCACAAAAAGATATCATTCACCGCAATGCACTATTACTGAAAATTTACACCAGCAATCTAAAGGTATATTTTTGGTTAAAGAAATTTCCGCTACATTCTTGCTTTCATAGAGGTCCTTCATAAAAGAAATTTATGTCATTAAAAAAGCCGAAAATTATCCAAGCAGAAAGAATTGAGAAGGAAGAAATAACTGAGAGTAAAAAGAAATTTTCATCTATTGAAAAATGTATCTTTCACTTCAAATTGTAAACAGTTTACGTTCTCCTATTATAAAATATTCGTTGAAAAGAGAAGTAATTTGAAAAAGTTAAAAATAAATCGGTTAGATATCGTTTTATCTGAAAAAATTTTTTAACTTATTGAAATTTCGCTATGCTTTTTTATAAGATAAAAAATTCAGGTCCAATTTCATATTGTCCGTTTAAAATAGTCACAAATTACATTCAGAATAGTCATAATTTAACTTTCAGTTTTCCATCTTGAATGATATAGAAGTTTGGAAGCAAATAAGCAATATAAAAGCCAACCAGTAATATTTCATTTATTGTCCTTTTCTTCCAAATCTTTTTGGAAATGTGCTAAAAGAAAAACTGCTGTGGAATAGCATGCTGAGATAACGGCATCATATAAAAATAAAGTAAAATCTTTATTGAAAAAAATATTGTGAATTAAATTATGGTTAAATAACAAAGAAAATGACAATGGGAGACTGTTACTTTGTTGAAAGGACCGTTACTTTGTTGAACCGGGATACTAATCGCATAGTTGTGTGAAAATTCTCAAAACTTGAACTTTCAAGGTAGAAGTTGAGAAATTAAAATATTTTTAAAAATTTATAAATAAAAGCCGATAAACGAGATTAGACTTGAATTTCAAATAAATAATATTCGAAGTCTAATTTAGAGTCGGGTTGGAAACGTTAGAAATTTCAAAAAATTCAATCAGAAACCCTATAAAAACTTAAATAAGTAATAAAATTTTGTTCGACTCACCTCAAGTTTATCCCTTTGTTGTTTTGTTTTTTCTTCAATTCTTTTCTGCCTCCATTGCATCATACTTTCGTCGGCATTCTTTTTCTCAACAAATTTCTTTTTTTCATCACACCACAATAACGGGTGCTCATATTGATCGTAACAAAATGTTCCCATATCGCTTATAATTAATTATTTTTTAAAAATTTTTAATAACCAAATGAAATTCTTTTTACAAACAAAATAAAAGAAAATCAAATATTTGAAAAAAAATTGAAATATTTTAGACTCTTAGCAACTCAAATTATTTATAAATTGATTTTTTGTTTTCTTAATTAGATTCATTAAAAACTTAGAACTTTTCTTTAACTTTTAAGTTATTAAAAATTAATTAAAATTCTTATAAATTATAATTAAATTTAATCCTTTTCTTATTCCTTGCAAATATTGTTATATTGATGAATATTAGAACAGAATCATAAACCGTTGTATTATTATGAAAATTCCGGTTTTCAAAATTGATCATATCATCTTAAAAACTAAATGTGAACTAAAAAAAAACAATAAGAATGAAGAAAAATTTGTAAATATAAATTCTTATATTATTGAAAAATTAAAACAAATAAAATAAACTTACAATCAAATTTCCTATTTTCGGTTCGTAGGGAACCAAATATAACAGAGTATAAATAAGAAAATTGTATTTATTTTAACTAACGAGAAATCAAAATGGCATTTTATCCTACAGCCAAAAATAGTAACTATATACAGTAGGTTTACCTATTTAATACTTAGGAGTAGTTATATTGTCGTTTAATACAATTTGTTTTTTTTTTCATTAAATATAGACTATAATATTATAATGTAGAATAGGAAAAGAGGAGTAACTATTGCAAAAGAGAAGCTCCTAAATGTTAGTCTGTACCATGCACGAAAATTTTCTTCATATAATTTTCCTTCTCCTATAATAATATAATTATTGTGATTTTTAAATCAGTGACGTTTTTTGTTTTTACAAAATTAATATTTCACTTGGAATATGAAATTCATATGTATATCACCGAAAATTTCAATGTTAGAGCAATAAGAATTTGATAATTCTAAATTAATACACAAGTTCTAGATTTAATTGCCAAAACAGTTAGCTTTAATACAAAGAATTTTTAATTATTAAATCCAGGAATATGCTTCTACGATACAAATTTTAGTAAATGATCAATTAAATTCCTACAATTAAAAGTAAAATTAATACGTGAATATTGTTTTAAAAAACTCAAAACAGTTATCGTCTTTAGAAAGTGCAATATTTTTTTTTGATTCTATTCAAATGCTTCTACAATTATGACTTTCTAATTAAATAATATTATTTTCTAAGCCAAATCTATAATTAATTCAATTTTGCAAAATTTCTGGAACGAAATCTCGTTTTCGAAAATAATATCTTCCCCTTACATATGAAATTTGATGAACAAATAAGCCAGCTTAATATTAAATGTATACGTCTAGCAGGAAACTAAATAATTATCAAAATACTTCACTGTTCAATGTTCAAAATAAGCATGCCACACCACTGAAAGAAAATTATATTTCCTCCGAAGAGGAATAAGTAAAATATAAACAAATGAATACTACAAAAAAAAATTATGATTTCGTCCTCATTACAACTTATCCAATCAATGCGATAATTTAAAGAATTCAGAAATTTCAAAGTAAAAAATAAATTCTTTTATATTGGAATTTCAAAGCAAACACAATATTAAAACAAAAAATACAATTGTAATGATAAAAAATGCATTTCCTTAAATTAAAATGCATTTCATTTTTTATTTTTTTTTTTTAATTTTAAAATATAGAACATAATTATTTCTAATAAGAATAATTTCTATTAAGAATAATCAATAACTAATTCACATATGTATGTAGGTGCACTCATAATTTGATTTTTAGATTTTTTTCGACTTAATATCAAAAAATAGGTTAGTGTTATTGTTCATCGCTGTCAGTCAGTCAAATAATCAGAAATGGTAATAACACGCACTACAAAAACTCGGGCAATCACAGAATATTCCAATTGGGTAAAGACATACACACATTTACATATTTGAAATAATACTTTCTAATCCCTTCCTTTTTTGAATTTCAATAGTATTTTCAAAAAAAAATTGCTTGTATTGTAATATTCCTATTATATTCAAGTTTATATAAAATTCCTAGGTACATAAAACTTTTTTAAAAATTTCTTTTATAGCTCTGTGACACGAAATGTGTATACAGGAAAAAAAATTTACTTATATGGTTACCAAAATAAAGGTGTTTTACATTATTTTTGATTTGTTATCGTTTAAGGAAATGTAAAGTGCACACAAAATTGCCTATCCCACAGGATAACATATTGTTTTAAAGTTATTTTATTTAGCAACTTTTACAGTTAAATACCTACTGTCCTATTTTCACAAAACAATGGTTTACATATTAAGTAATTTGTTGTTTAATCGATTTTACCGCTATCCTCATATGATTTTCAATGATAAACTCCGTAGAGGTTCCAATTTTTAATTTTGATTTTTGAAAATATATGCTTTATAGAAATAGCACTCTTCATAAAGTTTAAAATAATTAAAAAAAATTTTTGATCAAGGTCATGATGAAAAAGTTTATAAAATTCTTCATGCAGATAATAGTGTCTGACAATATTTGGACGAACAAACAATTCTATATCTCAAGACTGCATACAAATAGTCACATAATTTTTTGACTCCTCATTTTTGATATCGTGTATGGTTCTTATATCTTGTAAGGCCAGTACTTTTATTTAAAATGCCTAAATTAAAATACCAGCTCTCCCTCGTACTGATTCTTTCTAAATTTAACAAAAATTGCGGTTCAAAACCGTTGATTTTGTTATAGTAATACAAAATTTAATTTAACAGTTTGTTTTAAAAACGATAGTTTCAAGTCTTCTTTTTCCGTCCTTCCAATCAAAACAATTTCTGATACGATCGACTTTATCAAAAACTCAGTTCCATGCTCTTTGAAAATTACCAATCGAGAGTTAAGAAAGGTTTATATTTGTTTTTTACTATAAATTTTTTATTATTAAAATTTTTATTATAAAATATATGACCTATGCTAGGGAACAAGCTACAGCAATTGAAAAATACTTTTTTAATTCAAAAAATTCAAAAGATTGATAATACATTTAAAATGTTATGCATACAAGCTTGAGTTCGGGCCCAGACACCAAGATAAATATGAATTTTTATTATTTTCTTACAATTTTGACTGTTTGTTATAAAAACAATCACCCATATTCTCCTACTCTCTCACTTGACATGTTGGGTTGTTATTTAAAAATTTTGTAATTTTCTGAATAAAATCTATTCCGAAATTCGAAATTTTATATTGAAAACCAAAATTTTTTTCAATAATATTCCATAACCTCAAGTCGTGCGATTAACTGAATATAGATAAATAATATCTGATTTAAACTGAGTCGGTAAGCTAAATTAGTTCATTCCACGCGAAATTGATACGAGAAAAGAGAATTGAAACGAAAGTTTTTAAGTACTGAATGGCAACTTGAAAAATTAAAGAAATCTTTAGGGTTTCTTAGAGTTAAGGTATCGCAATATAAAAAGTGAAAAAAAAATTAATCTACATCGAGTTTAACTGCTTAACATCATTACTTTTGACCAACAATATTGTGGCTAAAACTCTCCTTCTTTTTTTCCTAAATTTTAATTTCTTGCTTCTTAATACGAATAATTAAGATTTTTCTTCAAATTAAGAGCAATAAATTTTTTTCAAGTTTATTTATTTATTAATTTCCTTGTTTATTTACATAAAATATTGTAATTTTGTCCATACTATGACTTTAATTACAAATAAAAAAAAAATATTTTTTTTTACAAAAATAATGTATGAAATAGTTAAAATAACAGTACAAGCGTGTAACGTTTTTTACAATAGGAAATTCTATTTGGACATTTTGGTTTTAATATTTTTTTTTATTAAAATTGTTCTTATATATTTTATACAAATATTACAAATTTTTCTTTTTTGGGCATTTAAGGACATTTTAATGTATGAAATAAAAGAAAAATAAAAAATTTTTAATTCAAAATAATAAAATTTTTTTTATTCACATTCAAATTTTCCATTTATAGCTACCAATTTTATTAATTATTCATTTTTGCAAAAATGAAAATAGTGCAATTTAACTTTGGTGTTAATTTAATATAAGAAAATATGAATTTTATGATTGGAAAACTTATATTCAGTTTAATTAGTAACATTTAATATTCGCTATAATAACTGAATTCTGTTCACTCCAATTATTAATGGACAATATGTTTTTGAATTTTCTTGAAAATTTTAAAAATTATTTCAATTCTTCAGTGCATATTCTTTATAAATTTAATATATTTATATACATGAGTTATAATATACACGAATTAAACTATGCACGGATCATAATATTAGTTAATGGATTTATAATAAAGCGATTTTTATAAAAATTCAATTTCTAAAAAAATAATCCAAATAAATGAATATATGATGTTAAATAGCTAATGCATCTCAATTATAATTTAGTATAATAGTTAAAATAATTTCAGGTTAACTATTTGTGCCGCATAATTACATATATTGCTTGATTTATTATAAAATTTTGATATTTAATTTTCATAAATTTCGATTTTTTCTATTAATTTTGGCAGTGCAATATCCAATTGAGTATGGTAATATTTTTTATAGCAATTTTATTTTTTTCTGACTCTTAAAATTATATAACATAATATGTATTAAAATAATTTTTAAAATAATTATGACTAATTATAAAATGTTACACCCAAAATAGAATTTTTTATTCATACAATTTTATTTTGTCTTTCATATGAGTAAATGTTAAATATTAAATTAATTGATCTATGCATCGATTTTAAAATTTACAAATATATTAAATTAAACTGAAATATTAGAAAATTAATTTAACATGATATTATAGTGTTAAAGGTGTTTAAATTTGAATTTTGTTTAAAAACGAAATGTTAACAAGCAAACATTTATGACTGTTAAAAAAAATTGCTATTATGTTTTGGTGAAAAACGATTATGAAAATCGGCAATATGAATTTCAAAATATTTACTTTTTTCCTAATCTTAATTGCTAGACATTTAAAATTAATATTCTAAAATAAAGAATTAATCATAATAAACAAAATAAAACTTAATTTCAATAATAATAATAAAAAGGATAATATCAATAATAAAAGTAATAATAACAATAATAAAAATAATAATAATTAAAATTATAATGAAAAATAAAAATAATAATAATTTTATGAATTAATATTCTTCTCAATTTTAAAAATAATTAAGTATAATTTATAATTTTTATGAACTCTCCATAATTAATGATTCGCTCATATTTTATGGTTTACCAATTACTTTTCAGCCAAATTTGGTTTACCAAAAAATTTCCATTATACTTTTTTAAAAGTAATATGGCTTTTTGGAATTTAAACAATTTTATATTAAAAGTACGTTAAATTTCAATAAAATTCCGTTTATAAAATTCCATAAAAAATATACATAAATATTTTTTTTTTGGTACAGAACCTTAGATATAAAATTTTGTTTATATTTCCGAATATAAGTTGAACTTAATTATGACTATTTATCAACTACATATTTAATATTTCACATTTCAAATGTTCAATTTCATTTTAATTTAAAAAAAAAATCTTTAACAGTAATGTGCATTAGCAAAGAAAGGAGAAAAATATGAATTGACTTCATACGAGTATAACATCTTTGTATACAATATCAAATTAATGTTAAAAATATTTTTCAATTAATAAAATTTAATTTTGAACCAAAGATAACAAAATTGCTATTTCATTTTTTGAAAAGCGCAAAGTTATTACGCAATGCTCAAGAAAATATTATATTTTTATTTTGTATAACAGTTGGAAAATTTGTGTTAATCATGATCAAGAAAATTAGTAAGAAAATTATATTACTTTTGAACGAATAATTATTATTAATATTAAACGAATTTTTATATTATTCATTTAAAATTTTACAAATATAAATATAGATTAGTTTTTCTATAACTTAAATTTAAAAAATCTAATTACTTTGTAATATAAGCACCAATTTTCATTATGTTTTTCAATTAATATTTAAGAATATTGTCTTTTTTTTCGAAAAGTTTTCAAACAAAAGAGATGAATCCTCTGTACACTGAAAAAACACTGAATTACGGTTGAACATTAACTCGCAATATCAAGTTATTTCTTTTTACTCTGATTAATATAAATAAATTTTTACAAAATTTTGCATTCAATTATAATTTAAATAAAAAATTTAATTCACAAATTAAGAAAACAAACACAAAATTTTAAAATTATAAATTTTTTTTTAAGAAAATGATAATAATTTATTTTTCGTCTTAAAATTTTTTCTTGGAAACATGCTTGTCGTATATACATTTTTATAAGACAAAATTTTTATATTGTATAACTTGTATATAGAACTTTTCAATAGAACGGTAATTTAATTTAATTATACATAATTCTGTGTTTTACTAAATATTAAAAGACTTCAACAATATTTGGCCTTATTGCAATATTTTCTAAAAGCTTGTCTTCTCTATTCAGCGATTCTCAATTGAGTCAAAAGCTTTAAATTTAAATTTAAAAATAAAAAGTACAAAAAATTTAATTTTAAATTAAATTGTTTCTAATTTTAAATACATGTTTCCATTTTCATGCTAGATTATATTTTTTACATTCTCAGTTCAATTTTAACTTTTTATTATTTTACATTTTACAGTACAATCTTTTTCTGTTAGATTTTTGTCTCAATATATTACAAGAATATATACAATATCAATAATAATTTCTTAATTTCTTAATTGCATTCATAACAATAATTATAATTTTAGTTGTTCTAAGATTAATTTTTATTTTAAAATGAAAATTAATTTTTATTTATTTATTTTCAATTTATTATGGTATTTCTATTACACATTAAATTTAAAATACATTTATAATTAACATTTTATTTAAGTAATTAAAAGTCGAATATATTACATGTTTTTGTAAATTAATAATCAATTTAATTTATTTGATGTGGCCTACGATTTGAACGTATTATAAGCATTAATCATAGTACCGAATTTTATGTACAAATGTTATAAAAAGTTAAGGAGATAATAAAATTATTAAATTATAATTAGAAAAAGTTGGAAAAAAAAGTTTATCCGCATTACTTGTGTCATTGTTAGTAATCTTGAATTAGAAGATAGATGGAGTTGTCAATATCATCTTGATAAACAAAAAAAGAATTGAATTTAGTTTGTTATTAACTATTGAATTCGTACCTGAAACCTTTTGACAATAAAACAACTTAAATTAATATTGTTATTAGAAATTTTTAAAAACGTGATAATATTTCTGCAAAACTGCCTCAATAAATAATCAAGTGGTTGTATTAGCTGAACAAAAGTAGAATAAAATTCAAAATATAGAAGGATAAAAGCTTCTTAAAGGGTTTCTGTTTGATAAAAACCAAAATAAAATCTCAAGATTACTACAATTCCAATATGCACATCTTGTAAAGGAAGCACTTTTAAATTATACAAGCTAGAATCAAAAATTCTTGTTAAAAAATTTAACAAATTTTCACGCATATTAAATTTATTTAATTTTTTGTTTTTGTTTGGTTACTCAAATATTTCAATCTAAATTAATTTAAACATTTAAGGTTTGATTTCGTTTTACGATAAAAATTTCATTATAAATTAAATTTTATATTTAATACGTTAAATTAACTTAAAATTAAATTAAACAAAAAATAACATAATTAAAAAGAAAACAACAAGATTTAATAGAAAAAGGTAGCGAAGCATATTTTGTTTAATTTTGAAATTGGAAAAAAAAATTATAGAAATAATTATATTATGTTTTTTTTTTAAATATATAAACTAAATTAATTATTGCATCCAAAAAAAAACAAATTTAATATTATTTAATTCGATTAATGACTAAATCTGATGCTATCATTAAGCCTTTCTGATATGGTGAATCAGTTAATTCTTGTGCTAATCGAATCCCTTCAATACTATGTTTTCTAGCCAAAAATCTAGTTTGTTCTAATCCTTGTGACTTGTGTACTAATTCGTATGCTCGTTCAACATCACCAGGCTCCTTAAAATGACGCATTATCATTGGATTTAATTCGGGATACTAAAAAATAATAATAATAAAAAACACTTTAATAAATATCACACTCATATATACTGTTCTTAGTCTAGCATAAGAATAGATATTATTAATGTATATACAGATTTATTAAACATATACTATATTGAGGCCTAATAAAATTTTGCACTAATGATATTAAAAATAGGAAAAATATTAGAATTGGTTTACCTTTTCGCATGCGAAAAGTACTGGTGCTGTTGCTAAACCCAATTTTAAATCAGCTGCTGCTGGTTTACCCATTGCTTCCGCTGATGATACAAAATCTAACATATCGTCAACTAATTGAAAAGCTAAACCAATATTTCTACCATATTGAAAAGCAATATCGATTACTTCATCATTAGCACCAGCTAAAATGGCTACCTAAAAACAATTATAATTAGGAAATTAATTAATTATATAAAATTAAAATAAATAAATTAAACTATATAAACCAACCGATTTTAATGAATTTGCAATCAAAGAAGCTGTTTTTTTATATGTTTTTGAAAGATAATGCGCAAATCGTTCATTTTCTGTTTCCTTTGCACCAAGTTGCATAAATTCACCTTGAACTAAATCTGTTGAAATCTTAAAATAGGAAAAAATTTTTTTTTTTTAAATATTAAAAAATTAATAAAACTTTTTATATATTATTTATTTTCGACATTCAATTTTTTTTTTCAATATTACATTCACACATTGATCTACTGAAGTGCGGGGAAATGGTTTTCATATATAAATTACAAATTTATATTTAAGCCGAATTGAATTTAATTTCGGCATTATATAATAATTTTATACTAGCTAAAAGATTACTAGTTATACCTCTTTGCAAAAGAAGGCTGTTTTAAGGACTGTTGCCTAAATACAATCAGCAATTAAAATTATATTGCCTGTATAAATCAAGTTGATCTTTATCAAATTGAAGCTGATTTTAAAATAACATTAGAAGCATTCTTTGAAAATCTGAAAACTCAATTGATTACTGAAGTTATTTTAATTATAAATTAAATTCCTAAATAAGTTCCTTTATAAATTAATAACACTGCCTGAAAATTCCTAAATTTTCTATGTAAACTTTGATATCATTATTAATTATTTATTTTGGACGACTCATTCTAAAATTCTTTAAACTATTCAATAAATTCACTTATTTTTAGGACAAGGTTTTTGAAATTGACCCATCCTTGTGGTAATTCTGGTGCAGTCATCATTTTAATTATGTTAAATTTTTACAAATAAATTTTTTAAATGTGTTTTTTAAATACCTTTCCTTCTTTTTTTGAATATCTCTCATCAATAACTCCCAATGATCGTAATTATTGAAGAAAACAAAAAAAAAGGAAAGAGACAAAAATAATAAATGGCAAATATTACAATAACATGATTTTTACGATTTAACTCGCATATCCGCAAAAGATGAGATTTTACTATCATAACAGTCTTATATTTTTCTGTGTTTTCTTCTTGTTTAATAAAAATTTCATTAGCGATTTTGTTATTTGATACCAAGTAAATTCCTCTTAAAACCGATCATAAACGAAAATCAATTGCATAAGTTTAACAAATAAAATTAAATCACTTAAAACTTGAATTATTCCGAAATATTTAATTTGTTTTTTTTGTTTCGACTTCTTTATTTTTTGTTGTCTTTGGTGGTATTTTTTGAAAAATTTTTAAATCTAATCAAATAAAAATTCATTTAAAGTTAGTGAATTAAATTCAATACCTCAATACATACTTAATTTAATTTACATAAAAAAAATAGGACAAATACGAGGGTTAAATTGATTACACATTATTAGTTACACCTATAAATATTAAATTTTTGGTTAAATTGCGGCAAATTTTTTGAAATTTTTTATGATTTTTACATTTTTTAAATTTTGGACAGCTTCTTGTGTGAAATTTTCTAAATATTTTATTAAATAGTCACGTAAAAAACTACCGTTATGCTAATGATGTTTGAAGGTATTTATATACATATAGTAAAATGCAGTTACGATAAATTTAATTTGCTATCACGATCTTCAACTCATGTTATTATAAGCTATTATTAGTACTCATTCAAGGTCGTTTAGCTTTTTGTTAACAAATTCTTCAATGAACTTATAGAAATTAAAGGAATATATTAAAAATTTTGACATACCATATTTTTTTGACATATTTGAGGTTTAAATTAAATCCCAATAATTGCACTTTCGTATTAAAAAACCCGGAAAATAAAAATCGAATCGTTGGTTAAATGAAATGATTGTTTAGTAATTAAAATAATCATCACTTTATTGAATTAAGTGTTTTCTTGTAAATGAAACTTAAATAGCAATTGATTAGCTGTCTGTCAATCTGTGCGCATCTGTCAGTCTGTTCGGGTGTAGGTTTGATTTCAATTTCAATTTGTAATAAAAAATTTTAAATCTGAAATCATTCACAAACTCTCATTCTAAAGTAATATTACGTTTAGTAAATAAAAATTATTCAAATCGCATTTTCTAATATGTTAAATAGACGAGTTTAAGGTGTATTACACTTAAATAAGTTGTCTTCTCTAAGAATATTTTACTTTTCTGTGCTTTAATTTAGAAAGTTTGGCCGCAATGTTCTAATAACAAAAAAATTTAAAAATCTAACTATGCATTATAAATGACATGAGATCGACACAAATTTTACATATTTACTATTTTGCTTTTGCATAAAAATAAAACAACAAAAACAAAAACTTGGAAATTTTTCATTACATAACATTGAGTAATACTACTACTGGTGGTGTAAGACAATTCAACTTAATAGTGGTTTAAATGTAAATAAAAATAATAAAAATTATGATGATATATGTACAAAAAATACGCATATACGATTAAAACAAGTAACTCTGCCAGCCAGTTTGGCTTCAATCGTTTAACGCATAATCGTAACAAGTAAATAAAAATAAATTTTCACATTTAAATTGAAATTTCCGCATTGATTTGTAATTAATGCAACGATTTAGTATAGATATATATGTACGTGTATGTAAATGTTGAAATTCATCTTCTCTCTCCAAAACGAATACATGCAAGAAAGGTTAACAGAAATGTAAATGATAAACAGAACCGATTATAACACTTTTATAGTATTAAAGTATTAAAGCTATGAAATTCAAAACTTAACCTTGTTAAAACTGTTTCAACATTTGTTTTAAATAAGTTGTTTGTAATAACCCTTAGTCTAAATTAACCCTTACTTTCGATCAACACCTAATCTGATATCTGAGTGTAAAAAATTATGCCATTAAAAATTGTTTAATTATCTTAGCTATTTAATTTTTTTTTTTATTTTCGTGTGTTCGTTCATTAGTTTGTTAATATAAATTAAGAATAAAACGAAAAATCAAAAATTTTGCGCTTTTAATTTTTTAATTATATAGTTATATAATTATTAGCAGGAATCAAAATTTACCGACACAGCAGTTGTTAAAAAAATTAATTTTCGCCGAAATTCGCCGTAAAACGACGAATTTTCAGCGAAAAAGAAATTAGTGATTTTTCTATTGTTTTGTGGTAAAAATTATTTACAAAAGTTACTGCTTGTCAAAAATTTTGGAAACCATTTTTTGATTATGAAGCTGAGTAGGAGAATTGAGCAAGAAAATTTTGAAAGATTGGAATAAATGATTTTCGAAATGAAAGTCTGCCTTGAATTTTTATTTGTCTTCTAAAGTTTGCAAAAGCATTTTCTTTTCTGCAGATCTTCGTTCCTTATTATTTAATTATGTACTTATAAGGAAAAATACGACTGTATTTCAGAAAAATATTTCTGTCGGAAAAATTTTGTATGAAAAAAATCTATTATTGCCCATAAGTGTGGTGCACCATACCTTTAAATTGTGCTCTAATACAAAAATCTGCAAAATAATTCTTAATTTGCTTCAAATATGAATCATTATTCGGATAGCCGAATATCAGACCAAATTTTATTTAAAAGGATAAAAGGATATTTGCATCTATGTATATTAGTTTATGTATAAAAACGCATCAAACTCATTCATCAAATTAAATCGTATTGCATGTTTTTAAATCTGTATATTACAAAATATCTGGTATTAAATTTACACAAATTAAATGAACACGTACTACACATAAATATCTTATTATAAAAACATTTTTAAAATTCTTTTTGCAAATACATTCGAATATCACTTATAAATTTTACATAATTTACTATATAGAAAAAATATTAGCATAAAAAATATACGATATGCAATGTGCAACTGATCCTACTAATGTAAATATGTAATTAATAAAAGTTTAGACACCATAATTCGGTATGCATTCAAATATTTTCTTTTTGCTTAACTACTTCTACTCGTACATATTTTGAAAATTGATTTAAAAATATTTATTTGTCACATAAAAAAAAAAAAAATTAAGGTGAGGTTAATTGTTTTTTATGCAATTCACACATTTTTTTGCACTTAATCTTTGTTCTAATAGCAATAAATTTACATAAAAATTATTTCCTTCTTTAATATTGATGAGACTCTATATACATACATTATTTTCAATTCAAAATCGCAAAGAGATTTATGTTGATCTTGTTGTCTTAAACATTGCAATTATATTAATATTGACGAAGCAGTTAAGTATATATTTTGTGTAATCAACCTTTTATTGTTGACATTAAATTATATATACATATTATGTAAACATATGTATGTGCGTACATATATCTAACATTATGTATACATAATCAATTATAATATTCATTAAAAGTTTATGAGCTAATTGAATACATTGTTTCTTCTACACATTCATTAAAACACTACTTTTTATGCGAAATATGAGTAATTTTTAAAATAAAAAAAAAAGTGCGAATTTAAATTTCGCAAAGAAAATCACTAAAGCCAAAATATATAGAAATTTTACTCATATCGAAATATTAATTAGCATGTATTTATCGGTAATCATTGCTAGACAAATTTGCGTTTTCAAAATATACAAAGTGTTTCATTGTCTATACTCTGTGGAATAACTTTATAACTTTACTTATCCAAAAAAAATCAATACTAATTCTTGAACAAATAAAAAAGCAGTAAAAACAGCTTTCTTCTTTTGCACATAAGATTTAATTGCCTTCTTGTTTCCAACTTGTCGATTATTGCATATTATTGTCGATTATTATTAAACATTTTGACGCAAAGATTCTGCACTATTCGAAAAACTTATAATTAAAAATGATTTTCAGCTACAAGTTGACAGGCCCCCTGATTTGGAAATTGTAGGAATGACTTGCATATAATACAGAATTCAGTGCAAAGAACTCACAAATTAAAATGTATATTAATACAGTATTACTGCAACTTTGAAGTTAGGGGATTTACTTTTCAATTTCGTTTTGCTGTAAAGCAATTTAAAACTACCCGGTATTGAAATTACTTATACCGTTACCGTTAAATTACTTCTACTATTTAATATAAAATTTTCTTAATAAATTTGCCAAAATATTTTTCGAAAAATATTTGCCATATTTTGATTCAAAATGGAAACATCTTGTACAATTTATTAACCTAAGTCAAATATATTTCTAAAATATGCCATAAAAATTATTTGTGTATACGTAGAGTAAAACGACAAATTAAGGCATACATGTTATAATAGTAAACAATGGACACTATTTCATAAAATTTAACCATTACAGAACATTGTGCTCACCCGAAATAAGATTTATTTTTGAATTCTTTTAAAATTCATAAAACATATTTTAAATATTTAATCAAAAATTTTAATCTAAAAATCCCTTGTAATGCGAATATATAAGAAGTACATATAATTATTATGTTTGTTTATATATAATTAAATAGAATATGTTTAACAAATTTATGAAAATTTCTTAAATCGTGTTTACATAAATATTTTGTTTATCTTGAAAACTTTGACAATAACAATAAATTTTTAGCAACAAAATAAATAGAGGGCACCTTAAATACTACAGTGCATTTATAATTGTGGATAAGCTCGAGTACACATAGAAACAATATAAGCCAATGAAACAAAATATGTATAACAATATTTTAATATACGTAGCACCGCATCCAAAATAACAATTACAAGAAATTTCGTTATAAATAGGCAGGTAATTCAGTATTTACCTTAGAGTAATATACTTTTAATAAGCACCTAATAATTTGTACATAAAATTCGATGTTTTTAAACTATCTTACTTTTATTTTCATTACAGTTTACAGAATACTATATAATTTAATTTTTAGACTTTAGATTATGATATGCAGATGCGTCGGTATCACATCGCGCAGAAGTGTATACGCTTAGATAGCCGCGTCAACCTAACCTAATATTAATATTTATAATATTTTCCAAATTTTTACTAATTTCAAAATAAATTTATTAAAACAATTACTTTAAATACTACTACAAATATTACAATTTTTTAAATATTGTCAATAACATTTTAATTTAGTTAACAAAATAATTAAAATTTTCAAAAAAAAAATTATGTAAACGATCTTTAATACGTACATTGTTTAATAAAACAAAAGCATATAGTAAATAGAGAGCGAATAAAACCCATTATGTATATGAAAAAAAAATTAAAGAAGCTAAGATTTCCGAAATGAACGTGACTAAATTGTCAAAAAAAAACAAAATTTCAACATTATTTTTCCTTTTTCTTTATTTCAAATTTTCAAATCGAAACGCTAAGTTATTTGCCACCAAAATCGTCAAATTTATATAAAAACTTTTATATATCGACAAATTTATTTAAAAAAACTATATTGTATACATGTACGAGAATAAAATAAAATAAAAATGCGTATATGATAATTACTTATCTAAATAAAAATTGAATATACATAAAAATATTTAAACAACGAAATGTGAAAATTCAATAAGGAAATGAATATTTTTTTTTTGAAAATGGAATTTAATAACTTTTGGCACAGCTTACTAATGTGTGTTCCATAATATAATCTGGTTTTAAGGTTTTGTTTTTCAAAAAACCAACGTCATGGGCTCTGAAATTTCAAAACTTCGGACAGTAGAATCGGTGAATGAGTGGAATAAAATCTAAACAATCTTATATTTAAAACAAGAATCGTATGAAGGTCATATAGGAAAAAAATATCGTGACAAAGAAGAAGAATTGCATTTTTATAACATACTCTTACCTGTTGTAATGCTAAAGTAACTTCATTATTGTTTAACCTTGAAATAAGAATAGAAGCCACTGATAAAATATAATCTCCCGCCATTGTAACCTAGAAGGAAAAAGAAAAACAAAAAATATAATTATTACTTAAGAAATGCAAAACAAAAATGCATTATATAAATTTAATAAAACAATTCGAAAAGTTTTCACGTACAATTCACGATTATATAACTGTTATAATAATAAATTCGAATCAAGCCGATGGTTTTTAAAGTAGCACATTTCTCTTAAAATAGCGAACACATTTTTTTTTAATACATACAATGTAATTTTCTATTTGTACTGCTTATGACATATCGTTCTTTGCATACTTTTAGGATGACATATTAAAATAAAATTAACTCACTAATTAGATAAGTTTGGACAGCAAAACGTTTGCCCTTAACATTTTTCTTGGAATCATACGCTTAAAAGTACATGATATCAATACAATTTTAATCTCCGCACTATACTTTAAAGTTTCTTATGTTTCAATCACGAAAGACAAGTATGTAAGAAGAAGATTATTTCTATTATACTTACATATTTGCTTAAAAATATAAGATTGATTTTAGTATTTCAAATTTACAGAAAAATTTATTATGTTATGTAACTATTATAGCAAGTTTTGACCATTACAAATAATTCTAACTATTGCCCATAATATCATTAAGGGTATAACATTAAAGGTATTTTTACATTTTATATAGTCTAAGAATTCTATTCATACTAATTTTATATATCATCAAATAAATTCAACAAAAAAAAATTTCTAAATTAGTTGTTAATTAGCACAATATAAAAAGGGTATAATATTCTTATGCATAAAAAAGAACCCGGATTTTACGTAAATTTTCAATTACACACTTAAATAAATACTAAGTACTGATGATTGTTTAACGCTCAAAAAAATTTCTTTAGAAAATTAACACATTTTTGATGTAAAATTGTAATATTTAATCAATAATTTTTCATGATGATATGAAAAAAAATTTTTTTAAAGTAATCGGTAAAATATTCTATTTATTCGATTGACTTCATATTTTTTTAAGATGGAAAAAATTTTAAGGCATAATTAAGGTTACATAATTGGTAACTCTACTTAATGTAATTTTCTTAATTTTATCTACATTCTTGATAAGTGTTTTTTTTTTGGGTTATATGGTCAATTATTGCCAAAGTCATAAATTTTCCAGTTTAGTCAATATAATCTTATTTCTAATTAACATTTTTAATAAAATTTTCGTTTGTTATTACATTCCGAATCAATCAAGTCCTTTATCGTATCGCAACAGTCGATATGAAGGAAACGGAACTCATTTAATGTTAATACAAAAAAATAGAATGCGATTATCAAAAATATCAAAGGGTTGTAACAAATTTTCAGAGTTTTAATGTAAGATACCACAAAAATGAATGGATTTATCTCCAAATTTTGAATATTGGGTTAACAAATGTGAAAATATCAAAAACCTCGGCAATACTTAGTATAAATAGTGTCATTTTAATTGAATATTACAAATACATTATTAGGCAAACTAAATATGTTATTAGTAGAAATTTTTAAAAAATTTTAAATTCCATTTGATATTTTTACACATAACATGCGTTGTCTACTGTCTGACTAATGAAATTTTGTATTAATTCACTTAAATTTTAAAGAGAAGCAAGATTATATCTCGGCTTATAATAAAATTTGAATAATTTTTGAATTCCTCTATGTACCCTGCATGAACGAATATTTAATAAAGAAATTTAATTAGATCCGTCTTCATATTTTTTCTTTTTTTTGTAATATAAGAAAATGAAAAATCATAATTTAATATGATCCGTGTGATTAACATGATTGTTAACAAGGTATTTTTGTTTTTCTTTTAAAAGTCAAACAAAAAATGCACTTTTATTTTTTTTTTTTTAATAAATTCAAAAATTACCCTAAATTTTTTAAGTATGGGTTCATCAAGTCAATTATAAATTCATTTCCGTCAATCATTTTCATTTAATATTCTATGCACACATGTCAGAGTAGTCGATCATCATAGAAAAACAATAAGAAATCAAAAACAAAAAAAAAATTTATAATTCGATTACCAATAATGATAATAAAATCTACCATATAAAAGTTCAATTTTAATAATGAAAATGTACATATACCTACAAATTACATACATTTTTTTCCTAACACTAAAAATTTCAAAAGCAGTTGTACAGGTGTAAATTCAAACTTAAATTGAAATAATGATTTTATACGTTCAATAGACAAAAAAAAGCTAAACAAGTTTTAAAAGTGTATAGTAAACAAAGAAAAACTCCAAGAAGAAACTAAAACTTCACAGTCATTTATATATATATATATGTGTATGTATATAAATAACTACTAAATAACTATTATAAACTCTGATCGCGTAATAATTTCACTTTCTTTAGCGCGCCAACTTTTAAAAATTACAGAAGTATACGCGATAGCGCCGTGCCCGTCACCACATATACACAAATATTATAACAAAGAAGTAAATTAAAAGAGAGAAGAAATGAAAAAAAAAAGAGTTAAAAATAAAATTTCTTTCTATTTAAACTGCGATAATTTGTGACCCCGATATGTTGTTAAATTAATAAAGTGGTTGTTTTAATTCAAAAGATGGTTATATTCAAATGGTGTTTTTCGTTTGAACTTTAATAAAAATGTAATAAATAAAAAACAAAAATCAACAATAAAAAAAAAGGTTGTGGAAGAAATTGAAATATTTTAAAATTTATTTGTTTTTTACATGCCTAAAATATTTACAATAATTTTTGAAATACTTTTTTTTTCACAATAATTGTTTAATAAAGGGAAAAACATTCAATAACCAAAAATTTAATTGGCAAATATAAAATTATCAAAATGGAACTACATGATAGGACTGAATTTTAAAATATGATCCACAAAAAATTTAATTTTTATTATACAATATATTTGATCAGAACTCTCTTAACTCTTTATTTTCTTCGATATAGTAAAATTATGAGAATAATCCCTTCTAAATATATAAAAAAATTCAAAACTGCCAACTAAATTTTTCACTTTCCAATTCAGATGACTTGGAAACTTGGCATATTTTGGTATATTAATAAGTGAACTTGGCATATTTTTTTTATAATTCACAGAATAAATAGAAATTCAGTAATATTAATCCTCCTTTTCATTAATGTTATCCTATTTGTACAAGTTATATAACCTCTAAACATATACCGTCCCCTACTACACCATAGATAATCTAAAATAAATTTTTTAGGGGAATTGTTACGCACTTTACATATGGAAAATAATATAAGATGGAAAATAAATGTCACATTATTAATACCCCAATTTATATTAAGTACAGAATTTTCTTATATACAGAAAAAGCATTTCATATATCTAGTCCGGAATTGTTGATTCAGTGTTATAATGCACTTCAACAAAACGCAAGTCAATGGCAATAATTTTAAAAATTTTTATGAGCAATAAAATTGCAAATTATTATTATTGAATAAAATATTTCTAAAAAAAAATTAAGTTGCGCCTAATTATAAGCAATTTTTCATTTTAGCTACTAAAAAACTTCGAAGTTCATTCAAAAAAATAAAATATTTTAAATTTAGTTCACCACACCCCAGTTGGCACAAATGAACCGTTTTGCCACCACTATCCTTTGATCAACATGTCGTCATTGCACTTACTATTACAGGTGCACTATCTAAGCCATCCCGAGTCTAATTTTCCCTGATACTAATTTTCGATATGTCTGTTCCGCGCCAGCGTGTTCCGCCTAGAGCGGGGCACTTGCAGAAATTCAGAAATAAAAATTTTAACAATAAAATCTGTTTTATTATCAAATGTAAAGAATGTGCTTAATTTATATATAAAATAATTTTATATAGCTTTATGGCAATAATTTTATATTATAGCTCTAATTACATTATTCTTCAATCTTCAAATTCGAAATCATATCATGACATCAAGAAATTTATAATTTTACAGCAAATTGTTTTTATTAAAGAAAGTTTATTATATAATTTTTATTATACTAAAGTTTAAAATAATTGCAAAATAATTAATTCAATATTTTATTTAAAAAATAAATAATTTTTTTTTAAATAAGCACATTCAATATAACATTCAATGTAAGCAGTTTTTATTTTTATGTTTTGGACAATTCAATTAATAGTTCATATATTAATAAAGTGCATTCGAACTTAATTTATTAACGTCCATTTCCTTATTACACTACTTAATATTAATTTATATAGCGAATTTCAAACAAAGTGTGCTATATAGCAAAAAAAAAACAAAAAATAAATTTTTCCAAAATTTTTGCGGTAGCTAAATTATTAAACGTTCAAAACTTCCCACTTTCTCCAGTTGCATGTTGGTTATGTTACACCTTCTCTCACATAATAATATTTAATAATAATAACAATAATTAAAGCGATAAAATACAAATTTTTACGGTATATAAATTTTAAACATTAAGAGAAAAAAAAATAAGTAAATAAAAGAAGACTAACATAAAAGAAAACACAATAAAAATTAAAAAAAAAAAAATTCATTATGCTCTGTGGTCTTTGATATTTAGTGCGTTGTATATAAGTAGGTATATGATGATTCACCTGTTATAATCGTTTTGAACATTTGATTATGTCATTATGAAAGTTTTCAATTAGAAAATTAAATAATTTTAGAATTACTTAATTTTTATACGAAATTCAAAAATAGCTAATATTATTGTTATTTAATATAAATTTTATGAAATATTGAAAATTTTAAGCATAATTCATTTTAGATCGTAAATGAGAACGACATTTTATTAAGCGAATGTTATTAAATATTAGGTAATTTAAAATCAATAATAAAAGTAGGTCTTGGAGTTATGAGTTATGAGAGGAATTTATTTCTTTAATGTAAATTGATAATAAATTTTCAATAAAAAAATCTACATTTCTAAATTTTCAAAAAGAATTAATTATATGACGGTGCTTATGGAATAATTTTAAGTAAACTTATTCTTAACACAAACCATCTAAGATCAAGTTGCAAACCTTTCAAAATTTCCCATATTTGTTCAAATTTTGCGAATATTTGTTCTTCAAATTAATTAAGTTCAAAAATTTCAATTCATGATTTTTAATTCTCAATTATATTAAATAAATTTACTGTAAACAAATTTTTGCAACATAATTTCTGTTCACACACCTTTATTAAAAACTTTGTACTTAAAAGATAATAGAGTTGATAATTTCCAAAATGAATCAAAGGATGCCATTTTCACAATAGCAAAAAAATTTTCATTCACATTTCAAAAATACGAGTATTTGCGAAAAAATCTCAAGGTTAATGCAATAATAATATTATTTTTACATAGTGAGAAAAGAATATTGTAAGAAATTACTTTATTTTTGAATAACTCGAAACCTTCACTTTCTGCTAACACATTATTAATAATATTTACCGTTTAAACCTGTTATGTAATATATCAATTCAATATTGTTCATTATGATGAAGACATCAGTAAATCTGGTAGTAGAAGACATACCATGAAGAAGTAAAATATCAAAAAAAAAATGAAAATGTGAATATTTAATACATTCATTGAATTCGAAATGAAATCGAAAAACTAAAAGAAAAATTTTGAAATGTTTGTTAACACTATCGAAAGTTTAAGAGAAAAATAAATGTACATAAATTATTATTTATAATAAAATTATTATTGAACATATTTTAAGTATAATTTTAAAATTTAAATTTTTAAAATCGCTAAGATAAAAGAGAATACACACCTTTTAGTTGCTTAATTAAGGTATAACATAAAAATTTAATTTATATTTTTAATTTAAATATTTTTTTTTTTTGTTAATATTGAAGAAATTATATACTTTCAGTTTTTTTTTTTCAATTATTCAAATTATTCAATAAAATTTAAAATTCATGTAAAAGAAAATGTAAATTAATATTAAATGATTACCTTTTTATGACTCCAAATGGCATTTACACTAGGTTTTCCCCTACGAAAATCTGATTGATCTATTACATCATCATGTACTAAACTAGCTGAATGAATCATTTCTGCGAATAGTGCAACAGTTCTTTGTCTTTCCAAAAGATGACTGAAATATCAAAAATAAAAATTATTATTCGAAAAAGCTGATAATAAGTAATTTAACGTTATTTTGAACATCAATCAAATTTGAAATTATAGAAAAAAGTGCTATTTTATAACTATTTATTGCAGCGAAACCACAAACATTTTTCAAATTTTGCAAAAGCAGAAAAGTAGTAGCTAGTCTGTTCTGTTGCAGAACAGCATATTTAAACTTTAAAAAACAAAATGACCGCTATCTGAAATTCGTTACTGTTACCGAAATTTTTGTTGCTGTTTTTTTTCTAGATAGTAAGCCGCAGGACCATAAAATTTTAAAAAGTTTTAAATAATAATAAATAGTTTATATTTTAGAAGAAATTTTTTTTTCTCTTCCATCCTCTCTCAAGTTATGAAATCTCAAAATTTATAAAATTTTAATTTCTAGCTCCTTATTTTTTCGAAATTGCAAGATTTACTAAATTTTTTATGCAGAAAGCTAACGGTATATACCATGTCATCAAAAAATATGATTTTTTTCCTAGCTCACACAATTAACTCTTGAATTCGAGCATTATGTTAATACATCTTTAATTTTTTTTTTTCTCATCCTAAATATATGCAATCTTTGAAATATATTTAGAAAGTAATTTTAATCATGTAATAGATTTTTCTAAAAGCAGTATTTTCACTTGTTGAAATGTTTCTTTATAAACCATTGGTTTAACCCAACATTATTTATTATTTTATTTCTATTAAAATGAGAAACTATCCGTGTTTGCAATTGTATAACAAATAAATTTCATTATTTTAAAAATATTACAGATATTTATGCATTTATGCAATTTCGTTTACAAACACACTCAATTCAATCTTTTTCTTTTTTTCCTTATTTATTTTATTTAAAAAAAAAATACTAAATTTAAATTTATTTCGGATTCAAAAATGGCATGAAAAGAAAATTAATCCAGTCTCATCTTCTTTATTATTATTAAAATATTAAAAAAAAAATAATAAAGAAAATGAAAACTGAAAATGCATTTTTTTTTTGTTTTTATTGCATTCCTTCAATTTTTTCAATTTACAAAGAATTGAAAAAAAAAAATAAAACCGGATAAAAATAATTAAAGTTTTTAGGCAACAAATATAATTTTATGAGAATTACTATAACCGATTACCAAATATTAAAATTTTCGTAATATTAAAAAAAAAATTATTTAATGCTAGCATATCGACAAACATACTAAATATGCATAAAAGTAAGTAAAACCTATACTAGTTGTTTTAATAAATTAACCAATTTTATTGTACTTTGAATACATTGCATATACATATATACATACCAACATGCCTATAAAGTATGTCAAAAAAATTATTTTTTCTTTCTTCAATAGGTTTATTAAAAAAAAGAAACCAAAACTCTTTCAAAAAAAATTGATGCATTTTCAACAAAACAAAAAAAAATTTCAAAATTTCATATGTAAATTGCATACACGCGAGTTGACAATTTCATATACGCATTTCCACCTATACCACAAAAATGAAAAACAAAATCTAAAACAAAAACTGCACAATCATTTATATAACAACCGTGGAGACCTTTGCAACGCATTGATGGTATACATATAATGAAGATGGTATGGCGATATAGTCCACAATATATGCATAATAATAAATGGGTGTTTATTTACCCATAAACTGTTATAAATTTCGTAAATGAAAAAAAAAAACCATATAATTTCTTAAAAGCATCACAAACCATAATGAAATGCTATAAAATTAATAAAAAAAAAAAAATAAAAAATGAAAACAATGCAGTCAATTTAATAATAAACATGTGGAATTAAATGCAAAAGTATGGCAACACAGTACATAATATATATGTACATGTGTACGTGTATCTTTTAATACATTTTATGTTTTTTTTTTTATACTCACCTTGATTCTGTGTTCATATGATAGTTTATTGATCTGGCCATTAACATAACTAACATCGGTCGGAAAGCTTTACCTAAACCATCAAAATAATATGATGCGATTCTCTCTAATTCAACTTGATTTGTACCTTTCTGTAAAACCTAGAAAACAAAAGAAGAAAATCAATTTATTAAATATTTTATTTTCTTTCCTATTTATAGCTATTAAATTTATTCAAAAAAAATCTATATGTATATGGATTGAAAATTTCCTACTAATTACTTTCTAATTAATGTTTTTTTTTTTTAAATCTCTTTTCATAAGTGTGCCATTTTACAACCACCTCACGGCCACGAGGTCTTTATTGCAGTACACTTCATATTTTTTAAGAAAAGCTTTGCATTAAATTTTATACTATCAGTCCTATCATGAATTCCACTAGAAGAAACCTACAAATTACGAACTTAGCTACGACATTTTGAATGTTCACAAATCCCTTTCGTAGAGATTCTGAATTAGCAATGGCAGCACCATTTTTCGGAATATCCATTTCGGAATAGACATTTGACATGTATTTTACTACGAACGTAATTTATAATTACTCTATTACTAATAATCGAAGCAAAATTTTCGTAATTCGAAATTGGCAATAAAACATTCGTAATTTTCGGAAGGGTTACGAACTGAAATTCATGATAAGGCTGCGTATATAAGATAATTAAATTTAAAAAAAATTTCATTTTAAAAAATATTGATTAAAAAAATGAAGATTGCATGAAAATTTGTTTAATAATATTATTAAAAATCAATGTTAACAACTTTTGCCATAAATATTAATTAAATCACTGTCAAAAAACATAAAATGTGTAACCAAAAAAATTCATTGACGTAAATTGTAAATATTTGTTAAAGCAAATCCCATTTTTCAACCATTTTAAAATTTTAAATTTACACATTCGAATTCGTGAAGGTTACTTTAAATTAAATATAATAGCAAATGATAATAAATAGAAGTCTCTTTTTTTTTTAAACAATTAACAAACTGACAAATAAAAAATTACCTATCTATTAATGTTTTACAGTAAAATAATAACTGAAAATGACAACTTTTACATATGTACAAACAATATACAATTTCTGCTTTATTAAAATCTCACATTAAGTAAAATTTTTCATGTGTCTAAAATATTCTAGTAAATTTTAAGTACATTGTAGGCAAATTTAAGTTTTGCATTATAATTCATTGTATTTTTTGTTTTGTTTGTGATTATTAATAGCACATCAAAGGTGTTAAGTAATTTTCAAGTAAATTACACAATTATTTAGTTGAATGAAATTTTAACAACAATGAAAATAGTTTTTTTTTAACAATAATCAAAATAATATAGTGAAAAATATGGTGTTAATACAGTCATCCCCAGATAAATGCGTTGACTGATTTTTTTTTTTAAATTTTAAAAATCTTAAATGTACTCTCAAACAAGTTGCATTTAAGGATATTACAAATGCATATTATATAAATGGATTACTGTATATAGTATTTAAAAATTTTTTTATAATACTGCACACGTACGAGAATACTATATCGTAATTTATAACTAAATTTTATTATTATATTAAGGAACTATTAATTTAATATGTAAAAATTATAATTTTAACTTTGTGAATATTTTAAATATATTATGTTCTTACATATAGGTACTTACAAAAGTATGTAAATTGCAAATTATAAAATATGCTTATCATGATCTGAGCGGAATAATTTTAAAAGATTGTCTGTGTAGTACCGCTTAGAGCGGTCTTGAAATGGATTTTTTTTTCATAATTTTAATTCTTTAAAATAATTTCTTTTTAAACTTACATTTCGAATATTTTTATAAAAAAACTTTAAGTCATCGTCAATTAAACTATATGGATCAATTTGAATTTCTCTAACTGGACCAGCTGGCTGTTGTGTATGTACTGAACTATAACCTCTTATACTATTATTGGTATTATTACTGTTATTTTCATTTTGCTCTGTTACTGCTATTCTAGAAGGTAAATGGTGATGTGATGATGTAGCTAAACTCTGAAATCATATATAAGAAAAAAAAAATCAATTATAATATTTATCAAAAACTTTCATATAATGTTAAGTTAAAATAAAGGATGAAAATAGTAAGGGAATGTTATAGAAATTTTAGCATATGTATAATACGTACTAAGGTAGGTATATAATTAGCAGATTAAATCTAAAATAGTTTTCGAGTATATTAATCCAAAACAATTAAAACATTTATGACACAATTTGGCATATACTTTCGATACAGGGATTTATAAGAGTTTACTAGTTTCATTTAGTTTAGAGACGGGAGCGGCAGCCCAAGCAACTCAGAAGGCCCATCGGCGTTCCTCCACAGTACATACCATTAAAGTCCCTTGAAAAAGCTCAGCAGATCACCCAGAGACACCTCCAATCCGTCAAACCGATATCCTCCCAAAGAGCGCTCCCTCTTCGTCATCAGAGCGGAGCGCTAATATATTATTTTAAAAATATCATTACTCGTATTGTAAGTATTAAGTAAAGTTTATAATTTCAAAACTTAACCTGGCCACCATCCGCGAGAGTTGAAATTAATTCGTTCGAAATTAATTCCAAAGTAATTGGCATTGGATTCGTTCCAAAATAATTGGCATTGGTACTATTAAGCTCATTCAAGCCTCATTTTTTTTTTTAATGAAATTCAAAGTGACTAAATATTATCATATGAGATGTCATTTAAAAAGTTTTGAAACGCTGTACAATTCATAATTTGTGAAATTTTTTGTAAATCACCCATTCAAGGCGCTATATTTTACCGTAAATCAAATATTCCTAAAACAATCGCAGTTTATCTATTGATTTTCATGTCTAGCACAAAAATTATCTAGAAAAAGAAAACCTTTTCCTAATATAATCAAATATTTTTCAGAGTACTCATAAATTAAACAGAATCTTAAATTTTTTTTTTATTTTTTTTTTTTGTTTTGAATTTTTTGATTTACCAATATTTAATTATTATTGAAATTTCTCAATATATTTACCACCTAATTTTCACTTTCATATTTTATTATATTAACAAGATGAAGAAAACAAAAAAAACTTGTTACAAGAAACAACTAACAAATATAACCTTGTCCTAAATTTTATGTTTACAATAAAAAAAAAACAAGATTGAAAAACAAAAAACTCAACAGGCATATTACAAAATTAGAAAAATCCCTATATCTAGATTGATTTATCAATCGATTATTCAATTTCACAGCATCATATAGAAGCGTGTGATAAAATCAATAAAAAAAAAACAAAATATAAATTCCCCTCCAGAAATACTATACTGTTGCAGTCATTTTACTCACATGTTTTTCTACACGTTCATTAATTATTTTTGACAAGATTTGTTTACTTTAAATGTGATGTTACTTTTGTACCTTCATCTCTGTTGAAATTTTTCTAAAAAAAAAAGCTAAACCTAAACCTAAAGATACCTAAAAATAAGTTCGAACTAAATCTGTAAAACGAAGGCAATTATAATTGATTAATCATGGGGTATTTGATAAAAATGATAAATTATTATTATTTTCATATTTATATACCGTTATATTATGGACAATAATATGGTTGTGAAAAAAACGCGCGCTTTTTTGTATTTCTATTTTTTTCTATTTTACAATAGATTTATATAGATTCAAATTATTAGCATTTTTAAGCTGGCATTTATAAATTTTTAATTTATTTTAATAATCATTAATTATTGTTGTTGCAATATTCGATGGAAAATTATAAAAATGCAAAATCATTTTTGTTGCAATAATATGCATTCTCTTTTAACATAACCTTAATATGAATGTAGGTATGAACATAGATCTTTGTAAAACCACTCTTTAATACTAATTCATTCTTAAAACGTTTCGTTCATTGGTAATTATGAAATATTTGCCATTAAGACTCTAATAGATTTTTTTTTCCATATTAAATTTTAATATTAGCCGATTTGCAACACATTTCATGTACCTACATATATGAAATCAAAATTAAAATTAAATTATAATTAATTTAAAAAATTATAAAAAGAGTTGCTTAATTATCTATAATGATTAATTAGCAGAATCTTTTTTAGAGCGCTATTGTTGGTCGTTTTTATAAGTTGAAGCAAACAAAAATGATAATTAAAAATGAGAAATGTAAAATGGTATTTATTAGAAAAATTTTATTATCTAACTTAACTGCAACTACCGCTAATTCGAAAATTTGAATAATTTCAAGGTTTCTCACTGTACAGCGATGTTTGTACGATTTTAACCAAGAATTAAAGAAAGAATATCAAACGATACTAAAGTTATAAGAATACTTTCAAGTCCAAATCTGTAAAATGCAAATTTACGCGAACGTCGAATTGCTATGTTGTCAACGAATGTTAGAAGGAATACTGTTAGAAGGAATCTTTTAGTTAACATACCTAGAAAAATGTGAATTTGGCTCTAAGTAGAGTTTCATTTTATGCTGTCCGAATTATACGAAAAGTTCCTCAGTAGTTTCTTGTTACAACCGGAACTCAAATATCACATTTTAAGAAATTTCATCCATTCGTTCCATAGATATAGTAGAAAATGTAAATTCGGCCCTCAGATCAGTTTCCGAGCCCTATTCTTTCTTTTGTGTATAATTAAATTTCAATGAAATCGGTTGATTATTTCTCTTTATATACGCAAAAATGAATATTTGGCCAGTAGTAAACGTCCAGTTGCTGACGCCTGATTTCTTCCAAAAGTTAGGAGGTTTCGCGGAGTGCTTATATATGAAATTTCAATCAGTTGAATATTTTATTCAAAGTGGTCAAAAATTTAAAACAGGCCCGCTAAAAAAAGCAGTTCTCGAGACCTGATATATCCCAAAAGTTGATTAATCTGTGCCATAGTCGAAATAAACTTTCATATAAAATTTCATCAAATTCGGTTCAGCCGAACTTAAGATACACGTGTGCACACACAGACCGACGGGTTGCTAAAAATAGTTTATTTACACTTCCTTACTATGGAGAAATGCGTTCCCACCGAAAACTCGATATGCAAAATTGTTTGCCATCACATAACCTCTCTTATTGTATGCAATACGGTCGGCCAAAACATAACATATAAGAATCGACTGTTTTAACAACATTGTGAATATTAACTATTGTATAGGGTAGGGTTTTTATTTTAAAATTTAATTAGTTTTTAATTGTAATTACATATTATTATGTCTAAATAACACCGTAATAAAATTAATTTTTATATTTTACTTCATAAAAAATATAATTTTCGCAGTAGAAAAAAATAAGCAAACCTCCGTATACTATAAAAATTTTCTATATACTTATCTAGTTTTCATTTCACTTACTTCACTTAATTTTACGACAAGCAAATACCAACATTAATTTCGCAAAATATTTTAATAACATTACAGAATCATTTTAATTAAAATTTTTAACACTTTACAAATCAACAAAACAATGTAAGCAGGACGTCATTTTTTTTTTTGATTTTTTAACAAATCTATGTTAAATGCTTAACATTTAAGAAAAATATTAATAGAATTAATCACAAATAAAATATTAAATTTAAGTATTGTTAATTATATTAACGACATGCCATAAAATTAGCTTCTTGTTAAAAATTAAATACCATAAAATATGAATTCAAGACACTATATAAATTAGAATGTCATTATTTTTTGAGTAATTATATAAAATTGTATTTAAAACAATTATGAAATTATAATTTGATTTTTATTCATTAAAATTAACAAGCTGAACGTAATAATGATTTCAATAAACACCAAATTTTATTTAGTTTTTTATGTTTTGTAATTTTTTATCCTCAGTAGTACAGCAAAACGTAACAAATTAAAATATTAAATTAGAATTAATAAATAATTAATTAGATTTAGTAACAGGAGAACCTAAAACTTATACAAAACATCCCTACTATAGTAAAACTAGACTAGTAAAACTGTGAGCACCACCTCATACAAATGCCCAGAACTAAGAGGCCCATCGACAAACCTCTATAAAGTTTTATGTGGAAAAATTGATCTAATTTTTCGATCTAAATATTTCTTGAAATTTGTATATGAATGTGTGTATGTATGAAAAACCACTTCTATGGAAGTTTAAATATTTTTGTTTGGATTATCTTTGGTTAAAGTTTAGACATTAAATACTTTTTCCTTTTTAAATGAATAATACAATTTATTAAAGCAATATTTTTTTTGTAATTTCTCAAGCTATCTCCTAAAATTTTTGAAAAAGATCGTAGCAAAGCAAAATATTACCTAAGCCTTTATAAAGGGTAAAGAGCTTACATAGTAGTTCGCTGGTCTACAAATTTGTGTTACATTTCCCAAAAATTTTATAAAACTTTCTGCTTGAAACTCTTCTTGAATCAACCTAATAAACTTCCTTACTCTTTTATTATTAGATGAAACAATTTTTATCACTTTTCACTATAAGTATACGAGTAAGTATAATCTTATTATATAGCATTTCCAAACTGGTATACGATTAGCAATGTTCAACAACCTTAAACTTCTTGTTTTTTTTTTTTTGGTTTTGTTTTCCTTTTTCATCTTTTTTGTATTTTTATAAAAAAAAAAAATTTATACCGTTTTATACTTTCACATGCGATTATCAAATATAATGAAAAAATAAGAGAGTGGAAAACCTAAGTGCTAAACTATTTAAAACAAAAATCCAAATGAATAAAACTTTAATACAAACCACACATAAAATGTGCATATTTAAGTTGTTTTGTCTGCGCTTTTGTTAAAAACACTTTAATGAAAAAAAAAGCCAAAGTTTCAGAAAATAAAGTCAAAATATCTTTGGTAATTGCATATACCCAAGTTGCAATGCCAAGCATTAAAAAAATTATCAGCAGTAGCATTTTTTTAGCAGTGATCAACATGAAATATTTAATCGAAAAGAAAAAGAGAAGAAAAATTTCAGAGTGCAAATTGAGGATAACCAACTTTTGAACAAAAACATAAAACAATTTTTTCATTTTATTTAT